AGTTCACTATATTTTAAAATTCCATCAGCATCTTTCAATTTTCCAATTAACCTCCACTGGGTGTCAATCCTAGCTGATTTTATAACTTCATCCAAGTTTTCTAATTGTAAACTGCGAAATTGCGACTGCAGACTGCAGTATATCAGTAGCAACATCAATATCATCTTTCATGGACTAAACGAAGTAACACAGGAAATCTGTTCAAAAAGTACCTTATATCAAAAAAAGATGCATTTGCTAGAGCAGAAAATCAGCAACTTTAGCATGCAAAATCACTTCATCGTTGACTGGAAATTTATGTAGTGTGTAATCACATACTTGACAGAAGTAATTTCTAACATGAAGATAAAACTTATTTTTGTCTTCTTCTGAAAGTTCTTCCACTACTTTTGTAGTTGCAGCTCCTATTACCAAATCTTCATCTTCCTTCTGATTTTCTGTTTCACCATAAATCACATCATATATAGAATTACAAGACAAAACACAGACTGGTTTTACAAACTTTGATAAAATGTCTTTAAACAGATCATAAATCATTGATTGCAAAACATGAATTAATGGAATTCTGCTTTGTAGAATTGTGTTCAGAACATCGAATGATGGCAAAATGAATTGTAAAAAAAAAAAAAAGCAAAAAGCTTTGTTAAGGTCCGAAGAAAAAAACATAAATATTCGTTCTTCACAAGACTTACAGTAATCGGAAAATGTTTCGTGTGTTGAGCAATTTTTTTTTTTTTTTTATTTGAGAGAAATTGTGTATCAGCTTTACGCTTATATTTTGCAGTATTATTTTGAGAACTGCCAGTTGAATTGCTGAATGATGCAGAAATTACAAAAAATCAAAATTTTTCTCATTTCAGTATTATGCAGCTGTTGGAACTGTTTCAATTTTTCCTTTCATTTAGAACTCCTTTCAAGATAATAATAAATATCAACAATGCGTTTATCCACATTTATTGGTAAAGAAGCTGCCCCTTTTTCAGCTGCTAAATTTAAGAGCTGACAGGTGCACCTCATAATCTGCAAATCTGAATTTGCCTTTCTTAAGATGCCTGCAACACCAGTCTTCAAGCCTACCATTACTGGTGCATTATCGGCACCAAGCGCTAAGCAATTATCCAGAGGGACTGCATTTTATTTTAAAGTTTTAATAATTAGCTGTGCTATATTAAAGCCTGTCGAATGTCCTTCTAAAGTGGGGACAGAAAGTAAACTGCACTCAATTTCTGAAGACTCTGGATTAAAAAAAGAAACAGCAATTGGATACAGTTTTGAATTGGTATTATTGCTTCCATCCGTAGAGAGGCAGAACGGAGCTGTTTTAATGCAATCAATAACTGAAGATTTATTTTTCAAATCCATTTCTTTAACAATTGCACCTGTTTTGGTCCTTGCACTTGAGTATTTCTTAGTGATTTCACTATCGGGAAACATTTTTCTAAATAAAGCTACAGCGTGATCCGATGCATTCAATGGCAGGTTGTGCTCCAGTAAAAAGGCAGAGAACAGACATTCTGCATTAATCACTTTTTGGTCTTTTGTTTCCGAAGAAAATTTAATTTTTCGTTTTTTCAAAACAACTCATGTTGTCCTTGTGTTTTTGTGTACGCACATGTTTGAGAACATCTGCCCTTCCACCAAGCGAAATCGAAAAATCACAATGACAGATGGTACACCTCGCAAATTTATTACATTTCCTTGAAGAAATAATGGAAGGAAAGTCAACTGTGTACGATTTTTGAAATGTGCACGAGTATTTCACCTTTCTCGCAGACATATCAAAAGACGATAATTTCTAAAACTATTTCCTAAAGGCACGTGTACTCACACAACTCAGGACAAGATGAACGAAATAGCGAAAGAACATCCAAAGAACGGCCAATGGCCTTGAGCTTGCTTTGTGCTCATTGGCTAATATATGCCAGATGACACGCAGTGGAGCTCGATGCCCATTGGACAACTGGAAAACGAAGTTTCTGGATACGTATGCTGTCAATCGCAAAGCAGAAATTCTCATCTGATTCGCAAGGTTTCATTTTAGATATAATCTAGAGAAAATTCAGTTGCTTTCAGACGTCCAAAATCACTTTTTTTTTTTGGTTCATATAATGAAGTATTAAGCCAAGTTCCATAAAAATCGTGAGAAATATTAAGAGTAAGAAAAAGTCGGGAGAAATATATTGTAAATCGGGTTGGCGGGAGAGCGGTCGAAAATTGGGAGTCTCCCGCCTAAATGAGTTGGCAACTCTGAGTATTTTGTTTAGTTCAATATGCACTGCACATGCGATTTTCTGGATTCTCGAGGTCACTGGAATCCAAAGTTGCTGAAAACTTTCTCTGCCTTTCTAAAAGAGAATCTAATTGGAACTGCGAAAATTGGCTCTATGCCAGCTGCCCGAATGACGCTCACGCGATAAACAATTCGCCAAGAAGGTGATTGCTTCCAACGCTGGCGCATAACTAGCTTTTTTGGGGGGCGTCACCGTATGAAATTCCGACTTTTCCAAATTTTGACTAAAATATTTAAATTCCCTGAATTTTTGGTCAATTTTCGAATTCCCTGACTTTTCTAGTTTTCCCAGTACTATGGCAACTCTGGTTAGTGATTTGAAATACAGTGCAAAGTCCGTAATCTGGACGTTCATTATCTGGAATGATCTATAATCCGGGCCTCAAAGCCACAAACTCACACATGCGCGTAAAGCATTTATGCATGTGCTTTTAATGCACGCGTATGCTACGCCTGCGCATAAAGCGTTTACCAATGCGCACTTCTGATAGTGAAGAAAGTGACAGAGAGGTTATTGAAAACGAAAAAATTTCGATTCACAAGTTAGTCGGTATTCTCAACACAGCAATTACGGGACTTGAACAGTGGAACTTTGTAACTGAACAAGAAATTATGTCTGTTTATAGAATTCAAGTGAAAGTATTAGCACAAAAAACAAAGAAACTTAAACATATAATTAACCTTTATTTTATAAATTATGGTTTCATATTTTTAATTGTATAATTTCTGCATGCCTTTTTATCAGACTTTAATTGATGATCTATAATCCAGAAAAAGCCCTAATCTGGAATCTCCGAAGTCCCGACGAGTTCGGATTACAGACTTTAAACTGTATTAGCACATTGACACTGAAAAAGATTTATAATAAAATGTCAGCACAAATATAATTTGTTAAAAGTGTAACTGAAAAATTAATGAAATACAATACATTCCATCTAAGTAATACACAAAATCAGAAATAAAATTCATTCATTTTTCAATGCAATGCATAAACTTTTAAACATTGGATTCTTCCCACCATTAATGGTGTAACAATTATCATGCGATGATTGACACAGCTTTATTGTTTTAAAAAGTGTTAAAAATAAACTCTGGAACAGAAGTTATTGTTTACAAAATGGCAATGGAGGAAACAGTTATCTACCCTGTTTAATAACATATATTTGTTGAACAATCAGAATATTAGGACAGCTACTAAATTCTGAAAGGTCTAAGAATTATATTTTTTAGGAAGTCAACAATCTTTAGATAGAAGAACTTTTAATATATACATATGTAACACAAATGAAATGTAATATTTGATTAGAACTGAACAAACACACATGCATACAAAAAAATGTTTTTCACTGGAGGGAAAGAGGTAAAAAAGCATTTAGAACATTTAAGGAAAACATTAATAGGAAAGATAGTAATAAAAAATTAGCACAAAACCAGATTTCTAGTTTTAATTTCTCAGTTTTAAAGTCAATTGAAGAAACAACACTGGCCAATTTCCACTCCCCTCCAAAAAAATTAACCTGTGCTTTCCTTTCATCTGATAGCTTTTTTAAAAATCTTTACTATCACACAGCTGTATTCTTTGTTTGATGATATGCACCATGAAATCTGTATTTATTCAGTTTTATAGTTTAATCAAAATTATAAAACTGAATACAGATATCAGTGATCAGTTTATTCAAGGCTCTGTTCTTTCTATTTAATCCTTTAGATGGTTCTTTAAGTAAAGCATTTCTGCATGCTTTACAGAATTTCATATTTATAGAATATATACAGATACAAACTGCTTGTATTCATCAAGGAAAATATTCTTTTAACTGCTTAAAATTAGCTTTGTACAGCATATAGAAATATTCCATTATAATAATAAAATAATAATAATAATAATAATAATAATAATATAAAAAAAAAAAAAAAAAAAAGCTGCAATAACAGATTATCTACGAATAATAGCATACTAACTAGCATTTTTTTACAGTGGAGAGAATACTCATTGATTCTTTGAAAGTTATGATTTTATTCCTGCCACTAATAGCATAGTAACAACCTATAAAACCACATTTATTATTGCAGCTATGATCTCATTCATATCTCTAATAAAGGAAAATATACCCTAAAACATTTATTACATAAATCAAGTATTTTATCATAAGTAAGTATTTACTTAATTATGATAAAAAAGCCAAGATGTCTCTAGTTTAGCAATAAATGGAGTTATAAGAATCAGTTTTATTACATATTTACAAGGTAAGCAATTTTGTAGATTATTTTCAGGGGGGAAAAACAACAACAACAATGTATATCAGTAATACATTTAATTTTTATATTTAATTATCAGTTTATAAACAAGCAAAGTAATTTTTACATCTTATCTAAAGTATTAAGAAACTAAATTTTCAAAGTTATAAAACCAATTTAAACAAACTAAAGGTTGTCTGCTTACTTTGTTATAGTAAAACACAATTAAACTTGATTTAAAATAAACTGCTTTTGAACATAGCATAGATCATCAATGAATAATATAAACTTTAAAAAGTACAATAGAAGACAAAAATCCCTGTTTGGAACTTGAAGTTATTCAGATTTAGAATTTTATGGATTTCAATTATAAATGGAAAATCATGAGATTTAGGCTCTTTTAGACAGAGAGGAAGAAAAGGCAAATATAAGCATTCAATTTATTCTTTACTTTTTCTGTTGTAGAAAAATAAATATAATTATATTTTTGCCAGTAATTTCTCTCCATGGGCCTTTTCCTCCATGTAGGGAAGGAGCGGCAATGCATGAGTGGTTTTCTTATCTGTGTGGCTAATGGGCCATTTCTCAAGTGGTCAATTCAGGTCCACTAAGGATCATCCTGTCACGTCTCACTCAGGCTGTGTGATCGTTAGAAGATTTTTAGATGTTCTCTGGTTTTCAGAGTATTCAATTCTGTTTCGTTTTGCCCTAGTAATATATGGTCAAGCGTTCTGGTGCTAGTTTACTATTACTAATCATTTTCCAATGTCAACAAAAATAACTAAAGCCAACCCATATTTCAGTTTAAGTGGCTACTCAAACAGGAAAATGAAATTCCTCGACTTTTCCAGGATTCCAGATGTATTTTAAGAAAATACCAGTCTATGCGCATACTGCGCTTTGGCTGTGCTAAGAGGTAAATTAACTAATTAGGGTACCACTTGAAAACACAAAAATTTGTCAGTTATGTACAACACATATATACTATTATAACTCTAATAGGAGTTGTTATCTCCGATGAAGACTGAGATTACAGTCTGTCTAATTTGGATTAAAAAATGCCTTTTTATTTTTTTCCACACATTTTGCAGCTAAATGAATGAAAGAAAGAAATCTATTTAATGATTTTTTATATTTATTTAGCGGCATACATAGGCAAAAATATGTGCATTTCGTGATGGTATGTTATCATACTGCTAGAATTAGTTTCAGGAGTATGCCAAAGAAAATTGCCTGGAATTTGTAGATTATTTTCATATGTATTATTATAAATATTATTAACAATAAATAAATTTAGGAGGAAGAAGCACATTAAATGATGCAAACATTAAAATAAAGTTAATTACTTAAAGATTAAAAACTGAATTACAATAATCAATGATATTTCGGCGAATATAATACAGTTACACTAAATACACTAAATGGTGAACCTAGATGACTGATTACTATTTTTTTTTTATTTTACTGCAAAATGTCAAATAAGGCATTTATTAAAAAAAAAAAAAAAAAAAAAAAAAAAAAAAAAAGATTTTGTGGTAAAATCCTAGTATATGGTTCGGTCTTGGCACGATTTTGTAAACTGTCACCAACACCAGAATGACCTGCTTACTGCTTATCATAATGTTGCCAAATCCCATGTATCCTGTTTACAGGGATTAAACCGATTTTGTTTTATAGAAGAATGAGAAGGTATTTTCTTTCTCTCAACATGCACTGCACATGCAATTTTCTTGATTCACGATGTTACTGGTAACCAAAGTTGCTAGAAACTTGCTTTGCCTTTCTAAAAGACAATCTAATTGGAGCTAAAAAAATTGACTCTATGCCAGCTGTCTGAATGATGCTCATGCGATACATAATTCACCAAGAAAGTGACTGCTTCCAACATTTGCGCAAAAAAACCTTTTTTTTGGGGGGGGGGATCGCTGTACAAAATTCTTTGACTTTCCAGATTTTGACTAAAATATTCAAATTCCCTCACTTTTTTGTTCAAATTTTCGAATTCCCTGATTTTTCCCAGTTTTCCAGGTAGCATGGCAACCATGAGCTGAGTATATTTTAGGTCTTCTACTGTATAATTAAAATTCAAGAAATAACATAAATATCATAAAAAATATTCCAACTACATTTAAAGAAAGGGTAATTTCTGATTATCTGCATCCTCACGAAAAGTCATCAACTCATCAGGAACTTTGGAAATTGGTGAAAAGCATTTCTTTGGTTATTTTTATATCTCTAATATATTATTTTACTTCCTTAAAAATAATAATAATAAAAAAAGGTTATATGGCCAGTATTTATATTTTTAAAGGCAGTGGATACTGATCAGCAAAATGATAGCTAAAAATAAAGTGTGTATCCACATGCACTCAAACATTATGAGGGACATGCATGCATAGGTTGGCTACTGTGAAATGTATACTAAAAAAATATGCAAAACATGTTGCAGTTCTACCAAATATTGAAACTGGGTATGTGAATAATCAGAAAATACCAAAGAATGCAATAATAAACAAAATATTTGGCAACTGATCCTATTTACTTACAGATGCTGGAGTTGAATGCATACTACGCATGTGGATACTAGAAGTACTCCTTCTGGTTAAACTTAAATGTTTCTTTTCATCTCTAAAATGGAAAATTTGTTCATTGATTTATTTTATATATACGACAACTTTGAAAAACTTTAAACAAAAATTTTAGAAATTTGCATACATACAGGAAGGGAAAATATTATATATTGTAGCTTAGTTGCTTATCATTGACATCTTTTTCTTACATACACAATAATCTATTATTTATTTTAATGCATGGGTGTAACTCAAAAAGCGAAGCAATTGGCAGTTGGGGTTAGCAGATATAAGAATGACAGAGGAGGAATAAAAAAGTTAAATAAAATTACATAAGCTGCTCAAAAGAGTGGCTGCCAGCAAGAATATAGGCTTCACACCTTTAATGTAAGTGATTAGCGAAAACAGGAGAAAATTTGTTTTAACAGAGGATCCTCATTAGCATGGATGGGTCTGTCACATATAAGGCTTTTCAAACTGTAGTACAGAAAAAATCAGGCAGTCTTTCCTGACAAAGTGAATGGATTACTGTACTTTGACCATTTCTCTGTCCTGGAATGTTACATTCAAAGCATTCCAGATATTCAGACTTAAGTAAACTGCCACTGCATCATGTTTGAATCACATATATATTTTATATTTGCTGGAACAGGATTCAATTATTCTAGTAAGTATTTATGCAAAAATTCAAGGTATTTTTCCATGCCTTGTCACTTTGGCTAAAAATAAGGACACCATCAAATGGTCATAGATAATACCAGACATTTATACAGAAATGTAACTGTTATTAATGCGGACACGTGGAATTCAAATTACTGGTTATTATCCACATATGAGAATTAGGAAAATTAAAAATTCCTTCATATGCATTTGTCAGTGGGCTATTTTCAAATTTTGCTTACATACGCTGTCCCAGAAGAAAAGAAAAATTCAAGCTAAATAATGTTTAAAGTTTAATTTGAGCAATGCATTCCATAAAGATGACTATAATTATATTTCTACAATTCAAAATATGAAAAAGTCAATTGAAATTTCTTAGCAATAAATCTTAAAAAGTGTGATTGTAGGCAAAAATGCCCGCCCCTTTCAAGTTTCATGTTATTCGACTTCTTTATTTTGTAACCTTAAATAAAGAAGTTTAATTATTTTAAATATGAACTATTAGCATGTTATATCCATGATAAAAATTAATTACAGAAGTTTTTTTCTTTAACAAATCAACAGTCTTCCACTTCACGTCAAGTCATTACCTTGAGATCATTTTACCCAAAATTAGTTTGTAAATCTGTCTAAAAAAGGGCAGTACATATTCAGTGACATAGATAAACTATTCAAGCTAAGTTTGACTACTCTGAAAATGTACTGCCTCCTTCAGGCAAGTCTACAAACTAACTGGGGGTAAAATAATCTCAAGGTAATTGGACTTGACATGAAGTTTAAGACAATTTTTATTGATTTGCTAAATTTTTATCTAAAAATTTTCAACTTTTTTTATATGTTAAATTTTAGAAATATATTTATATCTCATTTTATGCAATGCATTGCTCAAATTAAACTTTAAATAATGGGCCCAGTGGATTAGACATGTACAGCAAAATTTGGCTGCAATGAAGTTTTCTGAAGAAGCCAGTGTACAAAATGAATATATGATTCACAATCTGCGAATTCAAGGCTCGCATTCTCTATACATGGCAAGGGTGTGATTGTTTATCTAGTAGTATAGGTTCCCTTGCAAACACAGTGCATGCTAAACTGTCAATTGTAGCCGTTATATAACATGGTAAATTTCTCAAATGCTATATTTGATATGATCCGCAACCTTAAGCAGAATTTCTTTATAGCATGTAGCATCTTTACTCTTTTTGAACACTTTGTATCATTGCTCTAGCCAGACACTGACAAAGCTTGTTGCTCATAGATACTCGCAATCACTCAAAAGATTTTACAGTCTGGCACATGTCTTGATACACTCTTCGGGCACTCCAATGCACTTTTTAGGCTTCCTTTACATAGTGTCTGCAACTCGACATGAAATGCATGAATCAACTTTCTGCTGATTTGTGAAACAACTCATTTCTTTCCAAATTTAATGTAGAAATGATTAGTGAAAAACCAGCACAATATGCCTTCACTAAAAAGCATCTCCTATTGCTTTACAGCTTGAGTTATACCTATTCATTGTATAATGAAATGCTTGTTTAGTTGTGTTGCTTCACCTTATAAAGTTTTGCGTAAAAATTTTGAATCATGCTTCATTTGATGCACATACGCATCAAGCATCCACAACAAGTTATGAAATAAAAAAAAAATGCATAGTTTTATATGATTAGTGATAATTCCTTAGATGATTAAGATTTTAGAGTACTAAAGTATGTCAACTATTTTAACAAACGAAAATGTCACCAAACAGTGCGAGTTGATAAGCATAACACAAAAGTATCATGCTGATCATAAGCATGATATCACAGCATTTAGTAGTTTTCCTTCTTAACTCTGTTTACTTCTGATTAACCACTTATTAGTTTTTTTTTTTTTTTTTTGAAAGATGTAAGCTAAAAACCATTTCTCAATTTTTCTCTTGCATTTTGGAGAGGAAAAATGTATTAAAAATCTGAGACCTACCTTCTTCAAAACAGCATACAGTACTTATGAACCACTGGCATTTTAAAAGGGAAAAAAAAGTGTGTTTGTAAGCATGATCTCTAACATGTACCTGTTGAATATCTAACTAAATCAAGAGCAATCTCTTCCTTCCTAACTTCTGCTTGAAAGATTGAAAAAATTTACAGCTCATATTTAAGTTGTTTGCATCCATACCCTATTGCCTAAATAAAGAGTGAGCTATACATTCAAACATCTACTGGATCTTCCGAAACAGACATTCGATGGTCAACCAACTATATCAGGTAGTGGAACTCATCCGCAAAGGGCTGCAGAATAAGAAAGTTACAGGAGGTCTGTTCCTGGATATAGCAAAGGTCTTCGTGTATGGCTTGATGCATTCATTTACAAACTACGCAAACTGGGCTTCCCAGGCTACATCACAAACATAGTTAAAGCCTACCTAATCGGTAGACACTTTGTTGTTCGCGTCTAAAACACACTATCAACATGTAGGGCAATATTTGCTGGGGTTCCCCAGGGGAGTCTGCTTGGATCCACATTATTCAATATTTACGTGAACAACATTCCCGCCACACAAAACACAACACTTGCAACGTATGCAGATGACACTGCGATCCTCTCACAAAGTGCATTCATTAGCCAAGCAATACAATGACTACAAGACTACATAAACATACTCGAGACTTGGCTGACAAAATGGAAGATCAAAGTTAACGTAGATAAGACTCAAGCAGTCCTTTTTACCAAGAACAAATTCAATAAAAAACTGCAACTTTACGGAGAAGATATCCCATGGGCCAAGCAAGTCCTTTATCTTGAGGTGATCCTCAGTAAAACTCTCTCATGGTACCCACACATAACATCTATCCTTAAAAAGTTTCGAGTTAGTAAAGTTACACTTCATCCCTTAATTTCTCGAAACAGTGTACTTTCAAAAGATAACAAGTTGCTTATTTATAAAACTGTATTGCGTCCCATACTATGTTATGCCTGCCCGGTTTGGGCATATTCATGCAAATCATATAGGAAAAAGTTACAGCAGGCGCAAAATTGCGTCCCAAGAGAGATCAGCAACTCGCCCTGGTATGTTTGAAATCAAAAACTTCATGATGAATTAGGCATTGAAGAACTGAAATACAGTCAAAAGTCGTTAATTTGGACACCCATAATCCGGACCTCAAAGCTACAAACTTTCTGCGCATGCGTCACGCGCCGTAAGACCTTTACGGCTGCGAATTTGCGTGTGCAAAATACGTTTACGAATGCGCGTTTAATGTATAACAGACGGTATAAGCTAAGCTAAAATTATCTATTTCAGTTAATGTTGCAGATTGCGTTGTTCCTTAATCTTCGAACTGGATCCGGCTTATTATTTTTTGCAGACTGTTAGAGCAATTTTATAAAAGTAAGCTTGAACTTTCGATTATGTGAAATAGAATTTCCGATTTATATTTACTAATATGTAACGGATCTACAAAGCGAAAGTATGTTTCGGAGTCCATTAAACAAAAAGTGGAATTGCTGCAAAAAATGGATAAAGGCATATCCTTTGTTTATCTTTAACGCTGTGGCGGCGCGCAATGAATTGGAAGTTGATCTGTCAGCACTATCCTTATCTTCAGGGCAGATGTTTTTATTTTATTTGGCTTATAATTGCTTACTAAATGTAGTATTTCATTTCGATGTACTCCGTCTTTGATATGATTTAAATCAAATTACTCGTCATTATAATTCACTTCCGATAGCGAAGAAACTGACAGAGGTTATTGAAAACAAAGAAATTTCGATTGACAAAATTAGTCGGTATTCTCGACACAGCAATTATAGGACTTGAACAGCGGAACTGAACAAGAAATTATGTCTGTTTATAGAATTAAAGAGAATGTATTATCACATAAAAAATGAAGCAACTTAAACAACTTACATTGAAAGAAATGTTTAATAGAGTAAACAAATAAATATTAAGCTTTATTTTTTTTGTAAATTTTGATACACTTTAGATCATAATTGTCCTTTATTTCGTAAATTACGGTTTCATATTTTTAATTATATGATTTCTGCATGCCATTTTACCAGATTTAAACTGATGATCTATTCCGGAAAAATCGATAATCCGGAATCGCCGAAGTCACGACGAGTCCGGATTAACGACTTTTGACTGTATTTTCATTGCCAGTCGGAACTTTTATGCTAACTTCACAAGTATCAACAACCCTGTTATAAGGGTCTACGATTATGATGTAAATGACCCAAATAAATGTAAACGGCCTATGGCCATACTTAGTACTCATATTGTTTAATTTGAACTACTTTACCTGTACTGTACTTTATGACTTATGATATGATTTAAGTGTACCAGTTGACTCACACAATCTGTATTGTGTGTATTATATGTATCTCTAGGACTCAGGTTAAAGCCAGCTCTGTTCCTCTTTCTCAGCTCTCCCAGATGGCATTTTCAGGTCTTTATTGGAACTCGGCGCACAGTTTATTTCTGCTAGAATATCTTGTTATCCCATTACTCAAAAACATGATCATAATTTATTAAAAAAATATATATCTTATGTTAGTTACTCATGACAGCATTCGAAACAACATACACGTTCGACAAGGGGTAGGGTCCTTCCAGGCCCCCTGGTGTTACACCCTTTCAAAGTGCAACGATGATCAGTTCAAATTTGACAAAATCTACATGAACTTTCATGATCTATGAGAAAGTACGAAAAAACTAGTTTTGCTGGATATATAAATTTTAGCTTGAAATCATATTTTATTTATTCATTCAAGTTGCAAGAGGAAGGGATGTAGAATAACATTGTGTTACTAGAAACCCTCATGTGACCATGAAATAAAATGGGGGGGAGGGAAGAATAAACATAACAAAAATAACTGTATAATATAAAAAATGATCCTCTCCAAATGGATTGAAATAACTTAGCAGTTGAAAACAAATTTTTAAGAGGAGACTATCACTTGAATAAACATTAAAAAATGTAGATAATCAGTGTACTTAATTAGAATGAAGCAATTTAGAAATTCAAAAGAAATTTTTAGATTATAATTAGCCTTTAAAAAAACTTGGGGATATTAAAAAATATAGCCAAACCTACATATATTGTACTCATATATATGATTACAGCAATTTCTGCAAAAGGAAAGAATGAAACATGTGTATATGGATGAAATTAAAACTGCTGAATTACGATTACTCCTCCAAAGAGCAGTTCACAGCTCTTGCTGTCAAAATTATCACGTGATCACTGACACTAGAGTAAAACTGTTAAAATCGGATCTGACTGCAAATAGAAGACAGAGGGGGTGGATAATTTAATGCTTATCCAAAAGGGCATAATTACAACTGCCTGTATGTCAATGTCTCAGTTACTCTAACAATGAAACTCAGATATACCTACAGTGATACAGTGACAATTACAATAAAAGTTTAGTGATGATTTACAGAATGATCTGCAAATGTGGCACAAAACTAGGACAACAGCAACCAACAGGTATAACTGAAAGAATGTGCTGAATATTATTCAACAGGTAAGCATCAAATATAAGTCTCATAAAAGCTGTAAAAAATGTCAGTACCCAAGAAATTGTAAGTATCATATAACTGCGGGTATTCAATTCAGATACCATACTGTTCTGCATTGATTAAAAACTAGCATACATGATCTTCAGTAGCAGATGACAACGATTCTCAACGAAGCATAATAATCACCTTCACCTTACCTGAGCCATGCTGACTGGACTATTGAGGATTAGAAAAGGGTGTACCGGTGAAAGTTTTTAAGTTCTTGCCATTTCTGATATGACATTGGAAGAGTGAATCCCAACATAAAAATAGTCACCAAACCTGGCAATGAAGTGGTTAGGATGGGAGTCCGGACATTGACCAAGAGTATAAAAGCACGTTGCATCAGTACTTCAATCATAACTCACACAGTGACTGAATGAAATGGACGCATCAGAGGTGTTTGTTCAGAGCTGTTTGCTGTATGATTTTAAAGTGGTCTTATCAGCAGTAAATCAAGTTGCCGAACTTGGCAGGTTTTGGGGGATGATGCTGTTAACGAACGAACCACTAGGCAATGGTTCCAGAAGTCAGGTCAGGCGATATGTCTCTTAGTGATGCACCATGCAGAGGTCAGCAGCCATAGAGAGAGATGTTAGTACGCAAATAGTGATGGACTATCACCAATAGCATGATCAACAGTGTAATCTGGACACCCTGCATTCGCTTTTTCTTTTCTCATTCCTTCAGAAAAGGACAGTGATAGGACACTCTCTATTATATAACTCTCTTCCGATATGTATTTGGAATACTAACGAATCTTATTTTCCCGTATTAATAAATTGTGTTTGTGATCTTTCAATTTCTGTTTACAACCTCTTTTTTGGATTAACACGTGCAAATTGACTATGACTACACTGATACTGCGCTGGATACAAGGTAAGAGAAATCATTTTGCTCACTACTTTTGTTGTGAAATTGTGAGGCTATAAAAATGTTACAATAAGTGACAGAAGCCAAACATGTAGTGAGCTTGCTGTACACTTCCAGGTACCTTATGAAATGATCAGACGCCATTTGCACTACATAGGAAAGGCATACAAGCTGAGCAAGTGGGTATTCCACACACTGTCCAATGCAAACAAGCAACAAAGTATGGGTGCCTGTTTATCACTGCTTACCACAATGCATCCATATTTGATCGAGAACTCACCAGTGTTAAAAGTGGGTGTAGTATTACACACCCAGTGTTCCAAACATTGGTTGTCACCATGGAACCCTGCGCCTCACACTGCGAAACTTTCTCTCCACCCACGCAAGATCATGCTCTGTATCTGGTGGATTAGTTGCCAACTATGAGCTCCTGCTAGTGGGCCAAACCATCACGGCAGGACTGTACTCGAAGTAGTTGGAACGTGTGCATCAGACATTGATGCAAAAAGAGCCAGTATTGGTCAATCGTAAGGATGTACTCCTCCTCCATGACAATGTAAGGCCAGGGACACCATCCAGCGACTGGGCTGAGAGACACTACCCCATCCACCATACTCCCCAGACCTTGCACCAACAAACTACCACCTTTTTCATTTCCTGGACAACCTTCAACAACCGGCCAGACCTTGAGAATACACTCGTAGACTTCTTTGCATCCAATACTCCCGAGTTTTACTGCGATGGCATCACACAGCTAGCCATTTGTTGGCAAAAGACACTGGATGTCGAAGGTGATTACTTTGAGGATTAGCGGTTATTATTATTCGTTTTATGATTTTTTTACCTTCTGACTGTCCAAAATGGCAAGAATGTTTTTGCTTACCTTATAATGATAAAAGGGTATTTTTCTGTAAATGGAGTGTCATTCGCCAAGACTGTTTATTGCCCATATTTGTTATGAACAGCTATGCAGCATTTAATGTGCACAATGTTGAATTTGCTTTATTCTTCAATATTTTTTAAAGCAAAAACAGAATGCTGTGTGCATGGGAACAATAGCCAGCAATCTGTTTCTCTTTTAAAAACTTTTTTGGTTACTTTGTACTGCACTGCACAGATAAATGTTACGTGCGCTAGGGTATATACAACATGAACCTATACATTCTTCATGCATGATAAGTGTTGCTAAAGCTGGTGGGTGGACCTACATAATGTGGGAAGACTTTTGTTAGCAAGGGTTCAGTGATTATTGCTTACAGACTGCTATGTGACATATTGTGCATCATGAGGTGTTAAGGGACCCTGGAGATCCCTCCAATGCAGCACTTGTATTCAAATTTCTCTGGCATATTCCAGGACAACAATGAAAATAGCCATTAAAGAAGGGTTGCTTTTCATAAGCTGAAGAAGCATTTCAGAATGATGCACTGTGTTATTTGGTCTGTAACTCTAAATCTTAATTCAAGACTCAGGTTCTGAACTGTATAACATTAATACTCCATATATTCATTACAGGCTACCATTTAGGATATATAGAATCATATGCCCTTAGATATATATATTAGGACTTAGTGGAATCCATGGCATAAAGTGTTTGGAGACATCCTTCAAGTCAAAAATAAATTATTGAAATATTTTGCAACCCTTGAAATCCTCTGAATTTATGAATGTAAAATTCACTGAATATACGAGTCTTTGTATGTACAGAACTGTCAAATATTGTATTTAAACATAAAAGAACAACATAATAGGAACAGTTTTTTTTTTTAAAATCCAGATGAAGCTAGTCAAGTAAAATTAATAATTCTGAACATTTTAAAAATTATAATACCCAAGTGGAGAACTGAAATCCTCATCAGCAACAAATAATTTTCTACGCAGGGATGAATTACTTAGTACATCTGTTTCACAACAAGAACTCTCTCTAGAACAACTATATTCATCATAAATGAAACGATCACCTGCAAACAATATGAATTACATTTTGCAAAAATATATTGAAATAAATATACTTTCACTTACAGTTAAACTTCAAATTAAAATCAGAAACCTAATATAAAAACACTATTACCTAATAATGCCATTAAGTCTACATCTGGAGGAATAGTCAGATTGGTTTGAGTTTCAACTGAGAAGAAAAAAAATTATTATTAGATAAGAAGTTACTGCTTGAAATTGCATCATTACTTATACACAGGAAATTTAGTGTTTATTTTCCTCTTTTAAAGACAAGTAAAATCTATTACCATATAGCTGAATTTTGATTTAATTATTTTCCGTTCTTTCATAAAAGTCATATAAAAAATCTCAGTTTAATGAACATATTATATGCATTTAATCAGTTGTCCAAATTTCCCATTTTTCGAGTATGTTCAAGATTTCCCTCTCCCCCTGAAATTAAGCCTAAAACACACACACACACACAAAAAAAAAAAAAAAAAGGGGGGGGGGGAGAGAGCAAATATTTCGGAATAAAAATTATGGCAACAGATTATTATTTGAAATGAGAAATATCATCTGCTACTTTTAAATTTATTCTTCTTTTCAAATGTCGCTGAGGATAACCAAGCTGAGGATTGAAGGGCATGTTTTTCCACTTTCTGAAGAGAAAATATTCATATTCCGTAAAATTCATATTTCAAAAAAATTGTGAAATGTATGGTATTAAAATTTCTTAGTGGAAAATAAGCAACATTATTAATCACACAGGAAAAACCCATCAATCTACATGGAAAGAATACTCCAAACAAATATCTGAAAAAGTACCTATTGTTTCTAATGTTTTTAAAGTTAAATCGTTGGTAACACGAGAAAATCCACCAATGCAGAAATCAACTGTAAAATTTTTAACAATAAATAAAATAATAAAATAAGATTTATAACTTGAAAAAGCTAAAAAACATAATATTCACAAACTTTTGCTGAGGCATATAGCTTAATGCAGAACAATTTGCAAACCCTGTATGAAAACTATTTATCAGGGGATAAATGGATATACATTGCGACCCTCGGTAAAGCATGGGTTTATCTAAATGAATGCCCCCCCCCAAAAAAAAGAGGAGGAGGAAGAGTCTATTTATTATTATAGAAAATAAACAGAACTAGTTCCATAAATGCAAAGAAAGTTTTAGTAACGGGTTCATGATTGTTGTAGAATAATCTTACAATGGAAAATTAAAAATAAGAAGAGTGAGAAAAAAATGCTAAAATCAACGTACCATCAAGAGAAAGTTTTATGTCCGATATGTACAGAAGAGATTCCATTCAGAGAATGAAACTTCGTCCACACAAGGCAACACATCAAACTTTGAAAAGTGACACAGCATTCCTTTAAAAACTGAACACCGATACAGGTATATCATATATACTTTTTAGATGTATTCCTGAGAAATCCTAACATTTCACCTATGGACTATTGTGCCTTTGATCTCTTGAAAGGAGCTCTTTCTAAGCACAGACCCATCCTGATTGACAGGCTCTGGAATGTAATGGAAGAAGAATGGAAACTAGCAACCCCTGGAAATTTTATGAAAAGCTTTTCTATCATGAAAATAGCTATCAGTTGGAACATTTCAAAAAACACTCTTTAGATTTAAAGCATTAATTAACCTTGAAATTCTTCTAAAAATACGTAAACGCCATTTGTATTTAGCAATCAGATGAGTTTTTTTCTGAAGAGTCATAAAAGGAAGTGCCATTAGACACTTCAGGATTGCATTAAAAACGGTTTATTATTACTATTACTGCTAAATGAAATTTCACAGATCTGCCCGTTTTCAGATATACTGACAACATGAGAGAATCTGGCCAACAAAATTCTGAAAATAACTATTCTTGCAACATAATTTATCAATTTTGTAGAGATCTTCAAAACAAATGTTTAATTTTGAAAGTTTTGTTATTTAGTAGTTGGCAGTAAATTTAATTTAATTTTTCTTCTTTCCTTTTAATTAGCATATTTTGTTATAATATGTTATAATAATAAAAATTCAATAAAAGCCTTGAAATAATAAAAAAGAAATAGGAAGAATTTTTCTTTCTCACAAATATTTATTCAGTCAGATGTTTATATCATCCATCTATTGTTGAATATTTAGCATCTAGCCAGATAAGTAGTTTGTGGGTTATATGACACATCCCTAATTAGTATTACCATATACCCTACACCAGGTGTTCCGAACCCTATGCCTGTAAGCACTATCACACCCGCCGTTCGTTTAAAATGTGACCGCTACTGCGCGATTGCAATAATAATGTTTCAGTTTTCAAAATTCTATGTAAACGTTTTCTCATTTTTCATGGAATAGAAATTGCGTCCAACACAGATACCAGCACAAAGCAAAATACAACCGATCTCTTTTTTTTATGTGCATGTATTATCAATACATAATTATAAAGCAAATGTGAAAATGAAATCAACTTTATAAATTTTATCAAGTAGCATTGAATATTTTACACTTATAATAGTTGGACATAATTGAAGGAAGATTAGTGACATTTTATTTACGCTTTACTATAGTTAGCTTTATGTTGATTTTTTCTTTTTTTAATATCTCATCTTGTCGTGCACTTGCTCAATCTAGAGGCATAGCAAATAGCAGGTAAATTTTTATGTCAAATGGCATAGGTTAAACTGAGAAGAAAAATCATAATCAGCATGATAATCAGAAGACTGGCTGTTGCCATCGCTACTGCTTGCCTAGACGGTGACCTGCTGATCAGACCAAACCTCAGAGTCTGATGTAAGTACCGTTGGGAAGTTTTGAGAGTTAATTGTGCTTTGTCTGTCTGATGCAGTTAGTGTCATAGCTTCGTGAAGAGTTTCTGAGGTTGCAACTCAGTTAATATACTTTAAGGTTCGAGTAAGCCACTTAAGCGCCAGAGGTGATAAGTTGTTTTGTATTATTATAAGTCTCACTAGATGCAAAGAATAAGTTTTACATTAATTTTTATATTTTTGTGCTGTATCTTTTGGCTATGGTAAGGATTAATGAAAGGCAGTAATTCTTTTTAATATGCAGAGATAACTTTTAAGGGTTAACATTTAGTTACAAATAATTAAATTAGATAGTTAGATATCCTTAGTAATTATAGATTTACATGAGCACTATTAAATAATATTTATTTTATTAAAATATTGCTAAAAAGAACTATTAAAATCACAATCTAATAACATTTCCCAATTTAAAATACATGTAATTTATGACTTTGATCCTTAAATATTAAGATAATTACACATTAAATACAAAATATTCATGTTTTGAACAAGGTTCGTACACATTTCCTTACATGAAAATTAAGGACTTAAAAAAAAAAAAAAAAAAAAAAAAAAGGGGGGGGGATTGAATAGAATAAAGCAATTTTATGCACTATTATTAAATTCAATTTAATACTTAACATAAAACAATTTAAAAAATTAAACTAACTCCCTACAAGTTATGAAGTAGATAACATTAAATTAAGAACATAATTTCTTAAAAAACATGTATAAGTGTATTTTACACTAATAACAGCCACAGATATTTTAGAGATTTACATGATTATTATTTAACTTATTTGATATTTATTTAAACACAGTCAACTACTATTATAATTGCAATGTAAGAATATTTTGCAGATTAAAATAACAGATTTGTAAACATACAATTTATTTCTTTGGTTTTTTTTTGAAAGATACTAGAATAATAAACTATACAATAAAAGATACAAAACATTTATGCTTTTTTAAAATCTGAAATTTTTTCAGATATTTTAACATCTAATTTATTTATGTCTATTTCCTTTTCTTTAACTATTCTTCTAAGTTCATTTGCTTTGATAAACAAATCAATGTTCCTGCTGGTCTCGGCTTCATCTGCTAAAAGCATCTATCGAAGCTGCTGCTGATCTCATTTCTTTATTAATTTCGATATTAAGAATACCTCCAGAAAATTTTATGTAATCAAATACTGTGCATTGAGAAATGTATGATGAGTCACTTAAATTTTCAATTTCAATTGCTTTATTTACAGAGAAGCCCCTTTCCACAGAGGCCTGCCCATGTGACAAGATAAGAATCATTTTCACTATTTTCCATACTTTAGAATAGTGAAAATCATGAAAATAAGAAGTGAGAAATGTGTCAAGAGATAGATTTTGAGGATCAAAAGTAGAAAATTCATGTAAATTTGTCTTCTTAACTACTTTGTCTAGAAATCTCTCCAAACTGCAGCAGAATTTCATCACAATTATCTTGTAAAACACGTTTATTCCGCATTAATACCGGTTAGAACTATTTTCATTTTGTTCTGGGTTTTTTCTGGACTTTTAGCCATCAACTGTGGGTCTATCTATACAAGATACATTTCGAATAAGAGAATAATTTATTGGACATTTAGCCATTAAGTGTTGTACCATTGTTAAGACACATTGTTGACCTTGTTTCAATGCAAAACTTGCAGCTTGTGAAATGTCCTTCTTGCGGCATTTTTCATTCATTAACTGCTCAAATAAACTTTACTTTTATCATTATAACAATTTGGATCATTAAATTAAATTTATAAAGATTTTCTGCTTTAGTTATTTTTGAATATTCTAGTTTCAAAATTTTAAAGTGCTAAAAGCAATCATTTACAAGTTTTAAGATATCTTCAGCAAAAAAGGGAATAAGTGGTTTATCGCTTTGATAATATTCAAGGAAAGGCAATAATATTTTTGACAGAGAGAGAAAAAAAAATTTAATTTTATAAGAAATGTTTTATCCTTAGTTGCCTCCAAAATATTTGAGATGGATTTCAATGAATTTTTTTTAAACTGCCCCATTTCAACTTTTATAATGTATAGTAGCAAGTCATCCCATATTTCAATGGCTCTTTCAACTGCTGGGAAATTTTGTAACCATCGGTAAAAGCAGAACTTCACAGCAGAAAATTTTAATTAAAACATTATTTCTTTATCTATCAGATGATGGAGCAAAGATAAAAAATTCTGCAATAATTGGTTTTATTGTATGAATTTTTCTTACGCATTATATTTTAACACTTAAAAAATTGCAACATCGTGAAATATTCTAGGCAAGCATTCCTGCAGAGATTCCATTACATCACAAAAATTGCCATAGGAATGCGATATTGGCAATACCATGAACACGTTTTCTCCGTATAGCAACCATTCCGCTTATCGGTCATTTTCTTTTAATTTATTAATCTTCCGTTTCTTTTATTTTCTCTTTATCATTTCAACACTGACTTTTTATTCAGAATTTAGCTTTTATTTTAATTTCTAGTTATAAATAGGTGAAATTAGCTTAATAACAAAAGATAATTTCAATCATTATCACAATGAAATTTTATATCGACCAACTATTTGGATAACTGATGATATTAAAATTCAATAACATTCTTCTGAAAGCAGTATTCCTTTTACAAAAATAGTTGGTAAAATTCTAGTACGGTGCAGCCTTGGCGCAATTTTGAAAATTATTGCCAACACCAAAATGACCCGTTTAACTACCAATCGTATATGTCCCGTTTAATGCTTTTTGATACAAAATCAGACTTTTCTGAAATAACATAGCAATTTTTTTCCATATTTCGATTCTACGACTGAAATTATGCCTAGATATTAAATTTTGTAAAAATATTTTTTTAAATATTTTAATAAAAAGTTGTCGGCGGTTTGGAAGTCCAGATTTTAGATTATTCTGGATATTGGACGTACGGATCTCGGACTTTGTACTGTATTATGTTTTCATCGTTCTTCCAAAAAGTTGGAAATTCAACACAAACTTTTTGTAAAATACATCCATTCCGTGTTAATACCATAAAAACATTTTTATTTTGTCAATTTTTTCTGGAATTGGCTAGAATTATGGGTTTATAAATCTTGCCTTTAAATTCTTCTAAACTTCCCAAGTTGCACAATTTCTAATGGAGGGGGGATATGAAATTTTCTGTCACTTATATTTTAACTTATTTAAAATATTTTCTTATATTTTTAATGACCTAAATATCATGTTAAAGAATGCAAGGTTATGAAAACACAAATTAAAACATATAATTATACATATCTGACTAATAAATATTGTTTAAATGCTGGTCTTCATTATAAAGAGCAAAAACGATGTACCACTCAGAGGATTAAAATGGTTGAAGAGAACTTTACATTAAATAAATGTAAGTTAAATTTTAAATAACACACTTAAAGAGATGTAAAATATCTAATGAAAATAAACTACTGAAGTGTTTACCATCACAACTCAAAACATTTTGAAATGAGCAAAATCGTCTAACATTTCTTCTTAATTTATTTTCATCTGTACCTAAAATAAAATAATTTCAATAAATTCAGTTTTTCAATACATGAATATGTATGGATCATCATGCTTACATAAAAGCAAATAAAGCAAAATAATTTACCTTAATATAAAATACTATCATACAATTTTCCAAAAGAATATTGTTTCTCATTTTCGATTCTCATTTTGCTAAATAATTTTAAAAGTCCTATAGAAATAGCAAATTAATTTAAGATTCATAACTCTAAATGACCATCTAATGTTAAAATAACACGCATTTTTACCATTTACTGGTGACTACATAAGAATTAGTACAAAAAATTGCCTAGATACAAGAAAATTATGACTGACACATTGCCATTATGAATTTCCCTTTCTTCTATTTTTCCCATTTTTAATTTCACGAGTAACAGCTATTTATACATGTGCAAACACTAAAAAAGAGCATATTTATCTTAATCTTTTTTATGAGGCCAAGTGATGTGAACAGCGTGTGAAGGATGATGGATGCTCAGACATATTCATCTTAATCCTTTTTATGAGGCCAAGTGATGTGAACAGCATGTGAAGGATGATGGATGCTCAGCCATGAACAACTACAATTTTTCCAATTACTTTCTAATATAAAATAAATAATAAAATACAATGCAATCTCCTGTTAGCAGACATTCACAGACTCTAATCTATTATAAAAGAGTGCACTGGTCTTAATTGTTGATTAATAAAGATTCAACTGTAATATTATAATGCCTAAAAACATTAAAGTATGCAACATTTGAACTGTTAAATTCTCGAAGATGCCATCAATAAATAAGTACCTCCTTTAATTTCAGGAAATTAGTCAGATAATAATGAGGCAATTTAAGAATTGTTCTCATGAGTATATATTTCTTCTATATTTCTAACATGTTTCTTCTTATTTCTATATTTTCTAACATGCTATAATTCAATCTCCACATCAAATATGCGGCAGACAGACAAATTTAATTATGTTTTATGAAACTCAGGTGGAGGAAATGAAACTGCACATCTAATTCAGAGATTATTAATAATAAAATGATAGCAAGTGCACACAGAAAGCAGTTATATTAATAAAAATTTGTTATTTTTTTATTGTCCCTTTCCAAAAATTTACTAATTATTTCAAGACAATATGAGAAAATTAACAACCATTTTGAAAACTGTGGTGCATAAGAATTCCATAAAAGAGCAAAGAATCACAGAAAGGCAAAAAAACTATTAAAATTCCTTTCTAAAGAAATCTTTCTATAACTGGTCCTGTTGTCCTCATGTACACAGCAGTTTGTTTTTGCTTAAAAAAAAAAAAAAAAAAAAAACAGAGAACCAGCAAGTTTGACAGTACCATAACGATTTATGACACAGACAGAGGGAGGGGGAAGGTGCATTCCATTCACTGCACAAAAATCCCAATGGCCATGAAATTTTAAGTTGGAAATTGGTGATCAACCGTTGCACGAGTGCATGCATGGGTTTCCAAATAAAAGTATATTAGCAATAACACGGGTTGCCTTATAAGGTGTTTTCGCCCTCCTTTTCATGTGCATTTTTAGAGTAACTGGAAGCACACGCAATGCATATGGAACTGGAGCACACGCAACTGGAAGCCTACTTGACGAGTCTTTGAGAGGTTTAGGATTCAAGCCCTTGTAAAAAAAAATTATTCTACAACTTATTTTGGTAGCTTTGTGAGTACTTGTCAAGAGCTGTAGCTAATCAGATAGTATAATTTTATTTAGTAAGCTTCAATATTTTAAATATATTTAAGTATAAAACATTTTAATAAATAAAAAAATATATGGTGCATAAAAACATTTTGTTTCCACTAATTCTGTTGTATGATTTTTTGGATGTTTATTTGAAAAACAAAGTGATAATTTAATCAAATTTAAATTGCTTTAACATCACAACTGTTGGTCTAATTGTTTAGAGTTTTGCCTTAATAAGTTTCCCTTGTTAAAATACTTTACATATTTGTTAAATTACTTTGTCTTTCATTTTAAATTACTTTGTTTTGTTAAATTAATATTTTAAATCAAGCTGAAAAAACTTGAGCAAATTTTATACAAAATAAAAACCAGATGGCTTTGGAACAAGGTGTTATCTCTCTAGTTCTTATCAGATAGTCTACATAACATGACGAAAATAGTAAAATGGCCATCATAGGTATATAAAACGTCTAAATTGGAATGACAGGTATATAAAATGTCTTAGCAGTTTGCTTTGACAATCACTGGTTGTGCACTGAGCTCTTTCCAATTTTCGATATTACAGGATACACATAACAAAAAAATTGTACATTAAGTTGAATTTTTTTAGAAAGTGTTAAAATTATTATGAAAGTAATGTATGGCTTAATGAAATAAGTACAATAAACCCTTGCCAAACACTTTGTTACATCAATAACATATTGCCTGTACAGCAAAATTGTATTAATCAAAGTTAACCTTCTACATCGGGTTAGGTATAGTTCAGATTAAGAAAAGATGTATAATTTATAAAAACCTAAATATTATTGCAATTGATAGGGAAAAATGAAATACTAATTGAAAGGATTTCTATAACTACTTAATAAATAGGTACATGAAAACAATTTTTTTAATAGCTGTTTTTTTTTTTTTTTTTTTTTTTGCTTGGGACAGTGTCTGACAAAAATTAAAAATTCAGTGATAAAGAGTGCAAAGTTTTTCAATAACTCTCATAAAGTGTCTTCTTCCTTCATCTGGGTTAATCCCCACTACAAAATCGGACAGTTCTCGTGCCCCTTCTAACAAACTGTTAAATTTCTTATATGTCAAAAACTCTTCTTTTTCACTATTCGCTGGTGCTATAACATCATCCAATTCTTCACTTGTCATTTATCGATTGTTATTTTTGACTAATTCTTCGAGTTTTCCTCCTACACCTACATCTAAAAATGCTAGTGCTTTAGCACTTGATACGATTTCTCGGATAAAGTCAATGGAAACTCTTTAAAACTTTTTACGAGTTCTGGCCAGAGCTGATGTCAGCAACATTTTTTTTTTTTTTTTTTGATGGATCCATTCGTTCCTATGCGAGTTTAATCATTTTTATGCAGAGGTTGAAATGCTTTCAAAATGCCATTAGCCTGTCATGCTTTCATTCATCTAGAGCTGTATTTGCGAAGGTACAAACATAATAGGCTTTGAACGTTTTTGTGCTTCCTTGATCCATTAGCTGGATTAAGGAAATGGGTGTTCAGTGGAAGGAATAAACCTTTACATCTGAATGCAATGTTATGAGGTCTTATGGTCCAGCACCGTGTCCTGGAACATTATCAAGACTTAGGAGAATTTTAAAGCTCAGGTTTTGCAGGTCTAAGTAATATTTGACTTGTTCAATGAATTAATTTTTAAAACCAGTAATTAAACAGAGCTATTGTAACACAATTAATGCTCTGCAGTGTACCATGTATAATTAAAATTCTTGTGTTGGACAAATTAAATAGAGATAATTAAGATAACGTGCATACGCAAAACTGCGTTCACCACGGGTTTATGACAGCAGGATACAATGAGCGTGATCATATTTTATAACATCTATAATTGAATTATTGACATATTTCATTATTTCAAAAGCTGAACTTCTCCTTTTATAAGCATATTGCAGATAGCAGTTCCCAAACATTATTAGATAGATGATTATGTGTTTAATTTGTGATGGCACATAATTGGCAATTATAACCTGCAAGTGCATTTTTGCATGTTGATTAATAGGTGCTTCTGCTACAATAGGTGCCACTTCATGTGATCACATCTGTCTACGGCTATTTGTCTAATACTAAATGACGAGAAAAAATACACTTCAAAGAAATAATGGAATTAAAATTGGCATATAAACCGCATTTTCAATACAAAAAATAAGATTAAAATTTATGGGTGCACATTGCATGCCAAGTTTAAAAATGATACATTTAAAAATAAGGAATGAGCATTAAAAAAATTATATTTCTCTATGTACCTAAATGTTGCATATGTAAAAGAAATGGCATACCTGATGAACTTAAAAATTTTCGTTATTGGATAACATGAAAAGATTCTCATCTTTGTCTTCCGATATACCTTCAGGCACATCATAGAATTCTGTTTCATTTTCACCAACATTGTTACTCTGATCCATAAATAAATAATCATGTCATGTGTTCCATCTTTCACCAACACCAAACACCCTTGATCCATTTTCACCAACACCATGATTTCCATTTTCTTTTGCAAAATGAATGGTTTTGAATTTGAAATCAGTCCTGTGTTTCTTTTCGCTGGAGCCGTATACTACTAAAAGGAACACTAGATCAACTGTATTTCAACTAGCAAATGCGATTTACTAAAGCCTTCGATTTTTACTTCAAAATCACGACTTCAAATGACAACAGAAAGAAAAAAACATCCAACTTCTACTTCCATGAATTTATATTCAGGTTGAAGTGAGTTCTTACTCCAAATTATATGACCCTTTTCTTGAAACCCTACAATAGCATTCTTTTGAACAACCTCTTTGCAGGAATATTTGCTTCTTCAAGCATTAAACCCACATACATATTGTTCCCCTTATCGGCTGTTAATTCGGTATACCATTGTTCGAAAGGCTAGGAAAATCTTCGAATAAGTTACCTCAAAAGATAAGAGCACTGCAGATGTATCTTTTAGGTTTTTCGAGAAGAATAGGGTGTACATTGTACAGTGAATATATCTAAAAAATAAAAAAAATTTCGCTTCAAATTATGTGTGTTATAATACGGGTGCACATTATATAACAGAAAATAAGGCAACTAGAAACATATACTTTCACGGCATTTTAATTTGGAAAATGCAATAAATGTTTATGAACTGTTCACTGCGTCTTTAATGAAAAAGTTCACTTCTAAATTTTTCATAAGATTTCTGGAAATTATTTCACCGATACTGTATGTCTAAATCTCAGCACTCATAGAGCATCTCTTATTCAATGGAAAGAGAATGCAAATTCAAAATTCAGCAAAAAGAAGCAACTTTAACTAAGCACAGATACTTTCAAGGATTTTTTTATTTTGTTTTTATGCAGTAAGAGTGGGGAAAATGGTTTTGCTTCTGATGAAGAGCAACCTGTTGTCTAATCACTCTACAAATCGATAGTTATTCAAAATCTATGCCAAACTAAGTTTGCTTTTTTTTTTTTTTTTTTTTTGCCTGACTAAAATCAAAATCCAGCTGTTTGGTGACTTAATCTCTTATTTGGTTACATTTCTCTGTCACATAGCAATTTTCATAATCTGTTTTGACCTTATTTCGTAATTTTGCTTCAGTTTAAAAAAATTTCTTCTATATCACTTTGTAATATTAACTGAATTAATTAACTGATTAAATTGATCACAATAAGTAATGTATTTTTCATGTTATCATACATAAACAGGTGGGACTTCAACAATTCGATACAATATCCAAAATAACAACATTAAGCAGAGTTCTAATGTACCGGATGGCTATAATTAAACTGACAGTGCTCACAGTGTTCTGTAGCGCGATCTATTTGTGAGAATGATGCCACATTTTGTAGGAAGATCAAACAAGATGGGGATGAAGGATTCCATGAAAAAACAAATTAGTTTCTAAAGTCACCGCTAGGGGAATATTTGGAGCTGTGTAATAGAAAATAGAGTGTTAACAAATGCAAATCAATACGGAAATTACCTTTTATTTTGCATTCAAATGAGGTTCATTGGCTGCCGTTGTTGTGGACCACATATTGCATTCTGTGCACAGTATGCACAACAGCAGAAAGTAACATGTCTGCAGGAATCTCCCGTACAGTCCGTGATATGTTATCCTTCAATGTAGTCAGGTCCTGGACGACTCCTTGATAGACCTTGGACTTAAGGTAATCCCATAGCCAGAAGTCGCATGGAGTAAGATCAGGCGACCCGGGTGGCCATGCAGTTGGAAAGAAGCGGCTAATGACTCTCTCTGTTGTGAATTTCTGCCGTAGCATCTGTTGCACACGTACAGCAACGTGTGGAGGGGCTCCATCTTGCATGAAAATGATTTCCCCCAGGCATTGTCTTTGAAGTGCCGGAATGACAAAGCTGTTCAACATCTGGCGATATTTCTCTCCGGCAACACAACAAGTTTCCGGTCCTGTCGGGGTAATGTTCTCATAGAAGAATGGACCTACGATAAATTCCGCTGTGAACCCACATCAAACAGTTACCTTTGGTGAATGTAAGGGAATTGCTGTGACTGCATGTGGTGATTTGTCATCCCAAATTCGGCAGTTCTGGGTATTCACAGTTCCATTCAGGTAAAAGTGGGCCTCGTCTCCCCATAAGATTTTCCATGGCCAAGCATCATCCACCTCCATTCTGGCAAGAAAGGTGAGAGCAAAAGTCAATCGCTTATCATGGTCGGGGTACAGTAACTTCTGTACACGGCTGATCTTGTACGGATAGAAGTTCATAATCTTTCGTAAGATTTTCCATACCGTACTGTAAGGCATATCCATATTCGAGCTACTCCACGAGCGCTAGAGGTGGCAGCAATATTGGCCTAGTCTCTTCGACAATCGCCGTGGCAATTGCTTCGATTGTATCCTGTGGGACAGGTTTTTGTCCTCTGCCTGACTGAACCTTCAGAGAACCTGTTTTCTCAAACGTCGCAACCATTGCTTTTAGCCCATTAACTGACACAGGACCGTTACCTTTATGCATTTTTTTTGTGCGTTCTAAAAGCACGAAGAGCGACTGACGCGTAGCACTGGTTGAGGTAAAAGAATTTGACCAGCAACGCACGCTCGACTAAAGAAGGAGACATTGCACATAAACTTTCAATCCAATTGATTCGAAACGTAACACATTGCCTTTTAAAACCCAAGCAGCTGGCATTGTGCGAATGGATGTAACGTGAAATTTGAATAAAGAACTTCTTCTTCTGCTCAGCGTATGTGATATTGCAGATCACGAGACTTTATCAGTGTTTATGTAGATTTTATGCTTTTTTAAAAGTGTTGCCATATTGCACTTGAACTAAATCAGAAAATGTGCATAATAAAAGCAGGGTTGCCACTCAAACAGGAGAATGAAATTCCCTGACTTTTCCAGGTTTTCCAGGTGTGTTTCAAGAAAATTCCAGTCTATCCGCGTAATGTACGTTGGCTGTGCTAAGATGTAAATTAATTATGGTATTACTTGTATTGTGTAGCAAATTCACTTAATTATTCAATAAATCCCAGAGGACATTTATTCTTAATTATTCTTGGTATACTTTGTTTGATAATTTTGTTTAGTTTTCCACTTAAGAAACTTAATAAAATTTAAGATATATATATTGGATAACAAATGTATGTTTTATTTAATTATTACTCATGATCATCACCAGTTCAACACGAGGCTAATCCGGTCTTTATAAATCACAACGCAATGCTAAATAGTTCGGTTAGATTTTAGGTAAATTTAATTTGCGTGAGGTAAGTTCTTAAAAGGCACCTTAACACTTGAAAACACAAATATAATTATAATAGTTGTTGTTTTCTCCATTGAAGATTGAGATTAGAATCTTCCCAATCTGGAATAAAATAAGACATTTTTTTGCAGACATTCTGCAGCTAAACGAAAGAAAGAAATCTAATTTAATAAATTGAGGTATTTTATATTTATTTCGCAGCATACATAAGGAAAAAAATGTGCATTAAATTTCGTGATGGTATGTCATCATACTGCTATAATTAATTTCAGGATTATGACAGAGAAAATTTCCTGAAATTTGGAAAATATTATTTACTAATAATAAATAAATTTAGAGGGAAGAAGCCAACATTAAATTATATGAGTAACATAAAAATAATTACTTAAAAAATTGAATTAGAATAATCAACGATATTTTAGCGAATATAGTTATATTACATGGCTAGCCTAGATGACTGATTACTATTTTTTTATTTTACTGCAAAATGACAAAGTATTTATTAAAAAGAAAAAAAAAAAAAAAAGTTTAAAAAGATTTTGCGGTAAAATTCTAGTATACGGTAAGGCTTTGGCACGAAAATTGTCGCCAAGACCAAAATGACCCGTTTATTGCGCATCAAGATGTCGCCAAATCCCGTTATTGTTCTAACCAAAGAACGTCTATGTAAAGAAGAAAAGGTTCCATACAAGTAAAATGCTATTACGCCACTAGAATGCGGAGGCAAAATTTGCCAAGGATTTGGCGACGGAACCTGGCGGCCAGAATTTCCTCTCCGCGATGTGTACAGGAAATTGAGAAACACGTGTTAAGAAGAAAAACATCTTTGACAAAAAGAAAACTACGAAAATCCGTTTTTAAATTATTGCGAAAAATCCAAGAAGAAAACGTTTTATCAAAGGACGTTTCTTCTTGGATTTTTCGCAATAACTTTAAAAACGGATTTTCGTATTTTTTTTCCCCCTGAAAATAACTAATCCATGAATTAATTTACTTGCGCCAAAAAAATATTTCTTTTCTTTAGAGTTTTAACCACTTCCGCTAAGACTAAACTTCACGGTTGCGGTGCCGTGCGCTTCAATATAACAAGCGGTAAGTGTCTCATTTACGCCGCTCCGCATCTGCGAGTGCAATCCAGAGCTAACTCGAGAAATAAACAATCTCGTTGTTAGGCAACGTGTGTGCACCACGTTATTTTCATTTTTTGCATAAATGCTTATCGACGTGGTGTTCACGTCGCTCGCGGTTTGAGACAAAAGCATCTTGACGTGCGTGGCACGTCTTTTTAGCGCAAGTGGTTTTAAAGAAATTTTAAACGATATTCATTTTATGAACTCTTGATAACGTGACCTTCGAACTTCGACACCCGTTTCGAGCTTTGGCAACAGATATATCAGACATGCACAGCTGTTTCCCTCTATGATGGAACGGAGCCACAGCCACGTCTGTTGCAGAGAGGTTTTCCTTCTTTACGATACATATTCTTTGATTCTAACCTCCATGGTACCGTACACTAGGATTTAAACCCATTTTGTTTTATACGAGAACATGTACTTTCTTTAGTTCATGCACTGCACATGCGATTCTCGGAATACTGGAAACCAAAAGTTGCGGGAAAGTTTGCTTTGCCTTTCTAAAAGACAATCAAATTGAGCTGCGAAAATTGGCGCTATGCCAGCTACCCGAATGACACTCATGTGATGCATAATTCGCGAAAAAAGTTACTCTTCCGACGTCGGCGCAAAAATCGCTTTTTTTTGGCGGGATCATGTATGAAACTTCCCTGACTTTTCCAGATTTTGACAAAAATAATTAAATTCCCTGACTTTTCCCTGAATATTTTGGTCAATTTTCGAATTCCCTGACTTTTCCCGGTTCTCCCGGTAGCGTGGCAACCCTGTAAAAGGTAATTTTATTCCGTATTAATTTGCATTTGTTAACACTCTATTTTCTATTACCCAGCGCCAAATATTCCCCTAGCGGTGACTTTTGGAACTAATTTGTTTTTTCGCAAAATCCTTCGTCCCCTGTCTTGTTTATTCTTCCTACAAAATGTGGCGTCATTCTTGCAAATAGATCGCACTACAGAACACTGTGAGCACTGTCAGTTTAATTATGGCCACCCGGTATATAACTTTATAACTCTTTTTTTATACTTTGTTTCTTAATATCCTTTTCATAACACCTGCAGTTAGAAACCACAGATCCTTCATGCATAGTCTGGGTCTATTCTGTTCTGTTTTGAAATAAAGGAAGTGTAATGAAACTAATTTGAGTCCCACATGGTGGACAAGAAACAGCAACATTAACTCATACACCAAATCAGCATTTAAACAATATTAATATTATTATTAAATTACAATAAATTATTATTTTATTAGCTTATATTAAGTGTACTTGTTTAAAATTATACAATAGTATGACAGGAAATGTTGCTCACCTTCTGGAGTTTCAGACCAAGGGGAAGGTACAACACTATTTTGAGAAAAGAAAGCATCAATAGCCTGCTGCGCCTTTACCTCTTGATCAGTATCCTCCCTGAATTGACAAAATATCAATTCCATGATTTCAGATATTAAAAAGTTATGCTTCATATTTAAAATAGTTCATTCAAAAATTAAATTACTCCTATAAATGATAGTCTAATCAAAATTGATGCATTGCTTATTAAATCTATTGGTGCTTGGATATTAGTTAGTACCTGCTGATACACTGGCAACAATTGGTGCCTTTAGGTGATGACTTGTTTTTAACAGCTGTACACAGTAGAAAATTATTCTGATTTCTGGCAAGTATTATTTGGCAATTACATTTAAAATTTGCATCAGATTTTTATTCTCTGCCTCTATACTTACTTTACTCACTTCAAGGCCATTTCTTCCCCCTAAGCCATTGCGGGGGAAAAAAAAAGGTTGAATCCTCTAATTTGCAAAAGTTCTCCAATTCCCTCTGCGAGACGAGACGACACATGTTGTGATCTAAAATGAGGGAAGAATCACTACGACCTTCTTATGCATAGGTGCCTATTTTAAAATAACACACTATGCATAAGAAGGCAAGAGACATATCTCAAACTTGAATTTATATCCAGCCGCAGTTAAGATAGCTTCCTCGCAAAGCAGGTTTAAGGTTACCACATTTGGCAAGAAATCGCCCATTTGGCGACATGCCATAGACAGATGGAGAACCTTCTGAAACAAATTCTTACTGTTTAGCCCAGAATATTCTCGAACACAAGCCAAAAGCTATATAAACCCTGCTGGCACACGGAGTTAAGGCTCGTCTATACGTAGCGATTTCCTCAGCCCGACAATATCTGAGATAGCTTGCCTGTCCACACGGAACAATTTTCTTGTTAGTACAGGAACTCACTCAGCCAATCACTGTGAAAGGAAGTGTTCATGCCCTCTACAGCGTCACACTGTCTACAATTTGTAAACAAAGCTTACGGTATTGTCAAATAGTCAAAATAATGGATGACTATTTTACTTTAAATTGCTACTATAGATACAGCTGCAATTTTGAACTTAGCTACTGCTACAGAAGGGGAAAAAAAAAGGAAATGCGTTTGGACCAGAAATTGGGTCAAACGACAAGAAATTCACAGTGCCTTCGTAATACCCTGCTCTGAGAGTTGCGTATTGAGAACATGGTACTGTAGTGGAACATAATTTAATGTTTCCATATAATTATTAAGATTTTGTAAATGGCAACATGATGTAATGTTTTGAATAGTTATTAAGATTCGCCGTGTGGCAACAACGAGTCGAGCTAAAAATGTAGTTACTTCTAGCGTTCGTTGATAAGCATTGCGTAAGCTTTATTTCTTAAAAGTTTTGTTATATTTTATGTAAGTATTTATTTATTGTATTTAGTACTTTTAATTTTAATGTTAGCTTATGCTACATTACTCCACTACCAGAATCTCTTAAATTGTAACACAGTTACTGGAGGGGAAGTTATGTAGTGGAACATAATTTAATGTTTCCATATAATTATTAAGATTTCATAAGTGGCAACATAATGTGTAATGTTTTGAATAGTTATTAAGATTCGCCGTGTGGCAACAACAAGTTGAGCTAAAAACGTAGTTACTTCTAGCGTTCGTTGATAAGCATTGCATAAGGTTTATTTCTTAAAAGCTTTGTTATATTTTTATGTAAAAATAAGTAACATGTTGAAAACAAGAATGAAAACTGTAAAAATAAATATGCTGTTTCTTTTAAGAGCAAAATAAGTATTTATTTCACTTACAAAATGCTCTGGCTGATCAGTTTCGATTTCGGTTATTCATCAAATCCACAGTACAATTTGGAAAGTATTTATGGATGATGCCGCGTGATTTTGATTTTTTGCTAAATTTAGTTTGTAGCACAATTTAAAAAAAAAAATATACTTTTCCTTTGTGTACTGAGTACATAGATTACTCCTTTTTTTATTTATTTTATTTATTATTATTTTTTTAATTTCATTTTCTGGCACTGCTATTTGTGCACTTAAATCTTGAAATAATAAAATAACCATGTTTCAGAAAAATAAGTAATTACTGTGCTTTAAATCAAAAGCTTTATTACTGAATAAATAGACAATAATGTCACGAATACAAACCAGTATGAGTAAAAAGTAGTAATAAAGAATAAAGATTACTACATTAAAAGCAACAGTGTTGTAATTTCAGTGCAAAAATTTCAAATAAGAAATATCATAAAGGTGCAAAGTCTTAAGTAGTATATTTATTGAACATTAAAAAACTAATATCAGCATAATTAAATAACTAATACAGTCTGAAAACTATGATCATATGACTCTATCAGTTAATCAGCTAATAAAATTTAGCAATCTTGTATTAAATTAGGCTGTAATTTGTTTTTGCAAAACTCAATTAACATAAAACTGAGTTTGTGACTTCCTTTTGAGCTGGTAACACGTGCCAACAGCTATTCGAAAAATAAAAAGGCGTTAAAATTCAATAAACACCCCACCTGTAGGCGAAAAAATAAAAAATGACTTTTAAGTTCGAATTTAGTGATGGAGTAACGAAATTAAAAAATCCTTGCAGGTGCAGAAAGTCCAAAATTAAGGTGAAGGATCGAACCCACAATCTCGATGTACGGAGGAAACCTGCTCTGCTCTTTACCACTGGGCTATGGTTGCTCGGGTAGGAGGTGTCAGAAAAGCTATGTACTTCTTCACCTGATTAACTCCCATTTTCGGCGAAGTCAACAAGTCTCTGAGGTGCTTTAAATCGGGCCGTAATTTCTTGACTGGAGATTTTGCTTTCTGAATTTTTTTAATAAGTGCAACCACAGTTTCAAGTAGTTTCTGAATATTTTCATCTAGTACCCATGGCATGGCATAATTAATAGTTTTTGGAACTTTTCTTGGGGGGAGTTAAAATAATTTTTACCCCGAATAGAAAATATTTGAATATATAAAGTAATGGGGAAAACAAAGCTTAACAAAATAAGAGAATCCCTTAATTTTTATTTTAAAATTTACATTACTCTTGTCCCACAACACAACATTTTCGCTATAGAAATCTGTTAGTTGAAAAATTTTAGTTTCGCTCCAACGATATGCAGCCATTTTTATTATTCCAAATGAGGAGAAAAGCACGTGATCACTCAAAGCAATCTTATTGGCTAGTGACTGATTTTATCATATGCTAGTCAGCAGTGAACACCAGTTCTGAAATGGCGGCAGAGAACATGACCGATTTTTGGTGAATGCGCAGATCCTTAAAATTGTTGCTCTACGAGAAAGTTGGCTGAGAAAATCGCTTTTTGTAGACGGGCCTTTAGTCAGTGTCTTGTTTAGCAAGTAGATTAAGTTGAGGTCAGCCAGTGAGCGAGTGTCACAAAGTCTAGTGCCAAGTTGGTTTTCGAGCGCATTGAGAGAGTCTCTTAGTATATCATCGAGTTTGATCTTAGAGTGTGTTGAGCTTCGGGAACGACTGAACTGAGGAATTGAGAGCATAACAAGTTGTAGCGTGGAGAGTCTTGAGAGTATGTAGAGTCCCGAGAACAAGCAAGCAGAGTTGGGAGCTGTACTCTGGTGCTTTGCGTGAAGCTGTCTCCTCGATTATAGCCTGGAGGCTGTGTCACTGATTGTGCTTGTGACAGTGTGTTTTGATACTTTATCATGTGCTGTCATCATTATTTATCCCAAATGCATGAACCCATACCCTAACGTGAAGAAAAATATATAACAATATATTTGACCTACAAATTTTACATTTTTCTTTACTGCTATATCATGCATTGGATTAAGTGTCACACATCTGTTTATGTTTCTTTTCACCAAGACAAATGACCTCGTATGTACAAAATTATTCCTCTTAGACGAAATTTATATGAAGACTTGATACTGTTGTATTACCATAACAAAGCATAATACGTAAATGAATAAGTGACAGCCAGTTAATGCTTGCCAGCATCTGTAATAAAGGTACAAAGGCATATATTGCAACCAGTTCCTATTTTAACACTTTGTTAGTAGTTGTTAATGTACATTTTCTGTCATGTGTAATTTCATTTTGTGAAAACTACACCACTCGAGATGTTCTGACAAAATGCACAAGCCTGGAAATACTGAATTACTGCTGCTCCATTTTTTTTTGGGAAAGTTAATAAATTTATGATGGGGGGGGGAAAAAAAACTGAAAGATTTCAGATTTTAAATTATGTCCAAAGGGGCATTTTTTTAACGTTTTGTGTGTTACCTTTATTTATTAAATATCATGTTCTTTGCACTAAAACCATAAAATTCAGTTCAGTAGCAATGGCGCGAAATAATTTTAAAATGAGCATATCTTTAGAATTTGCGATACACAGTTCCGCAACCGCTGGAGATAAAAAAAAATCCCCCCCGCCGTAGAGTGTTGCCATTGCTCGCTTTTAAATTGTCGAGTGTTACTCCAAATTCGTTAACCATTTACAAAATATGAAATAGATAATAAAACAAATTCCAAATTTCAAATTTGGTCTTCCACATACCCATATTCGTAGGAGGATTACATCATTCAGAATTCGATGGCTCTTGTACAGCTCTTTTATCACTCGCTAGAAAACATAGATTTATGCAGATTTTTCATATTTAATTCTTCAATAATTAAACACAGCCATAGTTAATATTCTAATGTAGTCTTTCAGAAGACAAGAGATTCTAAAATAATTTTAACTTCTCACAAACCTGTAACCCTCGATTCCAAAATTTTAGCCTATCGGAAAAGCTTTCAAGTTCAGTAAAGTTTCAGATTCACAGAAAGAAATGTAGGCATCTTAGCCATAATGTGAAATTTTCAATAATACCTTTGAAACCCAAATCTAACTGCGAGAGAAAGAGCTACATTACGTGAAATTCATTCTAACCCGGATATTATTATTTAAGGCGACAAAGGTGGCCAGATAGTCGTCATGGATAGGACCCTTACATCGATGTGTCACTAAACTCTTTAAACGAAGGACCATATATCCGAGCCCTAAAGATCCTTCACCTTCGGATTTCTCAAAAATAAAAACTGCGATCAAATCTTCGCAAATCATTTCAGCCAACTTAAAACATCACTTATCCCATCTGTTGCGAATTGTGCCAGATTATATGCTCTTCCAAATCAAAAGTGTATTCCTTTCCGCCCTATTGTATCAAATTTAGGTACTGCCTCGTATCCATTAGCTAAATATTTAGTTTCTAGATTTCAACTCTATCAGACAATAACTTTACACCATAAAAAATCAATAGTTTAAAAAAAGTTAAAAACATTCCTCCGTAATTACTCATGGTTTCTTTCGATGCAAAATCATTATTCACCAAATGTCCAGTGGAGGGGCATTAAGATGTCTAGAAACCAACTTCGCGCGAATTTCATTCCTTGCATCGAATTGATGAGCTAATTTCTCTCACTCAACTCTGTTTGAAACAAACACATTTTTTTTCCAAAATAAATATACAAGCAAACTGAGGGATTAGCCATGGAACCCCCTCAGTCCCTCCTGGCTGATATCTACATGCATTTTATGAATCAAATTGTTTGAAACTTTAAACTTCCCGCATGGTTCCGCTACGCGACATACTTGTTTGAAGTAATAAAGATGATTTAAATAAAGTTCTTTCAACAATGAATTCTATGATCCTGCTATTCAGTCACTTTTGAGACTTGCAATCTCTTCCGTTTCTCGACATTCTGGTCACACGTAACACATCCAACTTCAGTACTACGGTTTACCGTAAACCTTATCGTTTGCCTTCCACCACACTTTAAATCATGTCTCCGCCTAAACAAAGTTAGCTTCATTTTATTCCTATGTATTCCGTGCTCTTCAAGTTTGCTCCTCCAAACTAGCCTTGATGAAGAACTAAAAGTATTTAAAAGCAACAGCTATTGACAGGGGCTTTTTAACCAACATTATTAATCAAGCAGTTAAAAAATTCCCATCTCAACACATTGAAAGGCACATTCTTGTGTTAGGAGATCATAAAAATTCTGTCGTCATTCCCTTCTTTCCATCATTAGCTTAAAGTGCACATATTTTGCAAAATTTAACTTTCGGGTTTTTTTCTCCCATCAATAAAATTCCGAGTTCCATACTCAATGACCCCATTCCGATATGAATTCCTGGGTATTTATCGGATTCCTTGCCAGTGTGGTTTAATTTACATTGGCCAAACTAAGAGAGCCTTAAAATTTTGCGTCAAGGAACATGAGGCATATGTTAGAAAAAAGGAAACACAGAAGTTTGTGTGCTCAACATTGTTGGTTCGAAAACCACACTTTCAGTTTTTCTGCTGCCAAAATTATTCAAAAAACATCTTCCATTGGAGAACTGGATTTTCTAGAGGCATTTCACATTCATAAAAAATTTCTGTTCTAGTTAACGATCCTAATTCCAATCCAATTTGCCTTCGGCCTTTAAAGAAATTTTGTTTTAGTTCTGGTTTTACCAACAGATGGCGCTTGCTTTTTCTTGTCCAGGCTTTCTTATCTTATCTAATCATTATTTCCTATCTTGTTCATTTGCGGTTTTGCAGCTGAAGATGGTGGTTCGGTAAAACCATCGAAACTAGTCCTGTGAAAACTTTGTAAATATAACGCTGATTTTTGTTGTTTGATTTCTGAATTAGTATAATGCAAGACTCTAACATTTGGCAGCAACAGTTTGAAAAGTGAAACGGACATTTATAGTGATTCAATGCAAAATGAAAATAACAGTTCTTTAAGGGACAAAGCCCCTTTGGACTAAAAAGCTGTACTTATCCCCCCCTGGGGGTGTCGATGCAGAGCGCTCTGTGTAGTACTGGCTAGGATCTGTACCTAGGCAGCCTCGGCCACGGGGGTATATAATTTACGAACTTAGCAACTCCCATGGTCCATGGAGTGGATCCTATATTTACCTGTCATGGGCCGGAGATGTAAGTCCTCATCCACCAGGGTATCGGCAGCCAAATAGCACCTGGGCCATTGAGCGTCCAGTCACTGTCGTCCTTGGTATTCCATGTAAAGCCTAAGGAGAGGGGCATCCCACATAGTGCTGGCAGGTAGCCAAATAACGGCCAGTCATCGCTGCTCGTTCACAATGCCCTCCCCACCTTGGTCTCTGACGGTGGTTCTGGCAGGATTAGTTTAGCGGTGGGTTTGTTAGGGGAAGCCTAAAATATTTGGTGTCCTGGGGATGTGGGACCCTGGGCCCAGCTGGAGTGTCAGACCATTTTCAGGTAGCTATTGTTGGTTCGCCAGTTCCTGTAATGTCATTCAGTTGACGAGGCAGGTACGTATTCCGTTACCTGTCCCCCCCAAAAATTCTGCATTTCTAGAAGAATTAAGGATAGCTCCTAAGAATGCTACAGTGCCTGTAAGAAAGCACAGTCTAGGGTGATATTATTACTAGTGTATCAGCGTCTATCAATCAATACAAATATTTTGCAAATACACATTAAAATCTGAATTTTATAGATCATCTAGAAAATCGCTCAAATTCGTTAAATCAAGTTTATTTATTAAATTAGGAAACATTAAAAAAGAAATTAAATAAAACATAAATATTATAGTTTTATCTCAATAATAATAACAGTGAAAAAATTAAAGTACTATATGTATAAAATAATTTTAAAAAAAATGTAAGTAAGAAATCTAATATTAACTGTACCTATTTTTCTAGCAAAAATAGATAGGCTAGTATATAATTAAACTTATTTACCATAGAGGGTACCACTATGTAGCCTTTTTTTTTTTTTTTTGTGTGTGGTAGTATAACCATTTAGGTTTGAAAATAGGTGATGCCATGATACAGATCAGCGGTTCTCAACCTTTTGACTAACTCGTACCATCTAAATAAAAATTGAAAACCTTTAGTACCAACACTACAAAGTACTACTACCATCACCACTCTTGACCAAAGCTAAGATCGCATAAATTTATGAGTGTTAGAGAAAAAACGCAATCAGGATGGTGGGGTTTTAATTTTTGAATTTAATAGTTAAAAAATACTTTGCTTCTTTGCATATCACCCATTTTCCTCTTGCGTACTACCAGTTGAAAACTCCTGATATAGATAATTTTTATCAAATTTTTGTCAATAAAGTTGAGATATATCTTATTATTAAAATAACAACAAAATGCTTACTTTATTACAATTTCCTTAAACTCACTAGCCTTTTTTTTAAGTTGACAAAAAATATTTTTAATTACTGATTTTAGTAGAGTAATAAATTTAGATTATTAAATATAAAGACATCAACCAGGAATTCTTACCAGGGATCCTGAGTTGAAGTTTCATCTATATCTGCAGGATACAAAAGAGATAAGTGCTCCACGGACCAGCCTACTTTACCCTGGGTGTTAAAAGAAATTTAGAAATGAATAAATAAAAAAAAGTTTTCCTATATTTCAAATGCGTCTTTATACATACATATTTGTATGTGCATATGCTTAAAGAATTTCAATTATAATGTTTACTTTTAACAGAAACATGTCAAAAACAAGCATATACCATACTGTAGTTAAAAATATTTATAAATAATAATGCAGTTTTTCATTTTAGTCACTGGTGAAGATCTTAGCATATAAACAGAATACCGAGAAATTTCTCCAGCCAGAGAGTTGAAAAATTTGAACTGCACATATAAGTGGAACGAGCTAGTCGACACTGGAACTGACTCCGTTAACCTTTTGAAGACGGGGGCCATTATAAAGGGCCATGAGTCCCTCTTTGAAAAGACTGGTTGTCCCTTGTGGCCAGTCTTTTTCCCATTTCCAGGCTGAAAATGGGGTAAAATGTCAAATTTGATTGCCCGGGTTTTTAACCACTTATCTCTTTCAAAGGTCTTCTTTTGCGACATAGATGCACCCCTTTGAGAATCCATTAAACTACACACAAGAATCTTTGTTGCAAACAGGAGGTGATTTCTTAAAGGGGCCAAAGCATTCGGTTCAAGATTCCCCATCCTTTGGTAGCTTTTACTGCTACCAAAGCCCCAGCCTCAAAAGGTTAGCTTAAATAAACCCCAGTGAGAATGGCCTTTAAGCTGTAACCTGGAAAAAGAGTAATTATGACGTGATTGGTTGCATGATTGTAGTGAATTTAACTGATGGGGAAATATTTGTAAGGATTTATTTTTGCATTGGATGTCAGGAAGTACGGTCCTTATTTTATGCTATACACTGTAAAATCGCTGTATGTGATCAGATTAATCTGGAGTTTCAATACGATTGGGAACGAAAGGGGAAAAAAAGCCTGTTTGTACGAAGGAAATGCATATGGCTGAACGTAAAGATCGTTCAGACAGCTTTGTCACAAGAAATGCCGACAGTCCGACGGATATTTTTGACTCTTATTTTTATGAATTTATGTGGAGACAGCAGTATCATTATTATAGTTCAGATAATTTTAGAAAGTTTTTGGATGCTGTTAAGAAATTTTTTTGTGCCACAGACCGAAGACACAGAAATTTCTAAATATGGCAAGTTGATATTTTTCTTTTGTAATGTGTATATGCAATAACATGTATTTCCTTTTTTATGTTATTTGTGTGATTTAAAATGCAGTTTATTGAGCTTCAATTGGCTACAAATTTTGTTCAATTTTGGCGATGAGTAACTTTGTATATTAACATTATATGATGTCATCATTCTCCCGATTTTTTTAAAGTGAAAATAGATCGATGTGTACATGAACAAAGTCAAGGGAGTGCGCAATGCCGAGTTTGTGCAGTTCTCAGATTTTTTTTTTTTTTTTAAAGTAGATCGATGTGTACATGGACACCGAGTTTGTGCAATTTTTTGACTTATTATTTTGGTTTTGTGTAGGAGCCATTTTGAAACTATGCCTTGCTGGCCAACTGCCAATTTTCGCCAAGGGGCACCCTGAAATATATTTTTAACCATAATTTTTTTTAATTAATAAAAGTATATGAATATTTGATTAGAGTATGGCTCTGATTAGAAGGAAAGGCAAGTACTAAATTAAATACAATATTTTACTATGATATATAAAGAAAAATTTATGATGCATTATTACTTATTTGTTTTTAGACGTACCAATTCACAAGTACAGCGGTTGCATGTGGAAATTGAAATCATTTAGTGACATTACGTAGTTTATATATACAGTAATTACTGTGTGATTTATTAGTATTTAAACAGTGTAAATTTTTTATATAGAATGGTAATTAAACTCTTTCCTCTTATTTTCCAAATTTAATTTAGAATTCAATTATAAGACCCTATCAAAAATAGGCACTTTTCTGTTATCGGGACCGGATTCAGAAATGTATGTATATATGCATGCATGTATATACATATACCTACATACATACATTTCTGAATCCAGTCCTGATAACAGAAGAGTACTGAAATATTCTGCATTTTCATGTATCAAATATTCAAATGCAAGTTGAATCTACTGAAAGTAAAATTCAGACATCGAATAAAAACAGGAATCTTTGCTAATTTGGGTATTTAATTATTTAATTATGGCAAAGCACACTAGGGCCTTTGTGGCCTTTAAGGGAAGGGATGCCTTTGTGGAGGACTTCCTAAGGGAAACTGGCCCGTATACACATTACACATTACACATGGGGAAAACCACAAAAACACCCATGCAGCCAGCCCGTTCGCAGGATTTGAACCTCGGACCGAACTACCAGTGTTCAGTGACTTTACCGCTCGACCACCGGTGGGCCTCTTTGCTAATATGAAATGCAAGCTAATCTGAAGACTAACAATCTGGCAACAGATATTTGTGCAACAAATTTTACAGCTTAAAGATTTTTGGCCTTTAATGGCTGTAAATAGCTAACACATAGTCTTTGTAGCATCGCATATTATCTTTCAAATATGTACACTCTGCACATAAAAAAAAGTTGGACAGTTCTACATCTCACTTTCTACTGAAGGCGATAGAAAAAATTTAATTTACATTTTTCATAAGTGCGATTTATATATTGCATTGTTCTGACATAGGTATTTTGACATAAAATGAGACTTTTTCTGAAATGACATGCTGATTTTTTCCACATTATGATTCAAATTATGCATAATTATTAAATTTTGTAAAATTTGATGAGCCCGAGAAATTAAAACTTATCTAATTAATACATTACACTTTTTCAGTTTGTGCCAAGAATAATTCACTTGGCGAAATTTTTAATTTATGATAACCTATTTTCTTTTCCTTTTCATTGTGCATGAGTAGGAGGCAGAGTTCGTAGCCACATTTTAGTTAAAAAAATAAGCACCTATAAGCACTTTTCAAGCACATTTTAAGGAAAAAATAAGCACCTGTCTAATTACATTATGCACAACTGCATAACCTTAAAAGAAAATTACACTTTTAATTTAAAATATGAGCAATGCAATATTTAAGAGAATAAGCATTACCTCAACCATGGAAAACAATTAACTTTTTTTTTTTTAAATTTTAAATGACAGTTGAATTTACAGAATTAGTTTACAATGAGAGAAAAAAAAAACCATGCAGAACTAAACTATATTACAAGATTTAATGATGAAATTTCAGTTCAAAATATAGAAAATAAATAATAATAAGCCATATTAATTGTATTCGTTTGGCACCTAATAATAAATACAATTTATTTTTCCACTCATATTAATATTTAAATAATTTAACTTAAATTTAAATTTATAATTTTTATTTAAATAATTCTGAACATTTTCTACATTTTCATTGCATAACAGTTTTCCCTTAACATATATTCCAAGCAAAGTAATTTAAATAAAAAAGTGGCACATTTCTGAAATCAGAAGACGGAAAATTGTTTCATGCAGTCATTCTTTAACAGTAAAAGCGTAACTAACCCGCGTACTCAAATTGCAGAATATTCCGGATAGTAACTGGAAAAAGAGGAGTGGGGGAGATTGTAGCCGTTCTTTAGATTTCTCGGCTAAATAAATGATTTTGACATTTTGATATGTGCATCATATAAAAATAGACCAACGGAACTCAGAAATATTCTGCTTAGAAAGCACAGTAAAACTCTTTTAAGTGTTCATAAGCAAATCTCAGACTGAACATCGAAATTAATTATCTCTGCAAAATATCATAAATGTCATTGCGCAATACGTGCAGCGTAATTCTTCCACATGTGATATTACGCAATCGGAATCAACAGCTGCCGGTATTCGGAGAATAAAGAACTAAATAAAGGAAAAGAAAGAGACTTAGGTCGCCGCTTTTTTGGATGGCCCAAACTGTCCTTTTACTATCGATAGGCAGCTTTTTGCCACCAATAATGAAATGGCCTTGTTTATCGATTACGAGTTTTAATGTTTGGATTCATGTATAAACTTTGTCAGAAGGAAAATTAATATCGCGAAACCTTGCAATTTAAAGGAATATTTGCAGACACGAAGTAAAACTGTTAAAAAATTGCTTATTATTATAGAAAATCATAACCATTTGATGATAAGAGTATGTTACGAAGTATGTTATATATCATACGAGTTATGAAAGTAATGTAAAGATAATGTCTGTATGTATGTGAAGTAAATAAATCCTCTAGAAAGCAAACACTTTATTTGGTTATCTAGTTGAAAGTTTGGCCATTTTGTTCTTAAGTATTGGAACATAAATTTTTATTAATTTTATGCCTAAGATCTGGTTGATGTTTCCAGATCTGTCCAAGTAAAAAAAGAAAAAATGTTATAGACTTTCATATTCATTAATTTTTCCATAACGTTGTAATAGAACTCTGTTTGATTTTTATTTGGTTTCATTGACAGCTATTGCATGCTTTTTTTTTTTTTTTTTTTTAATAGCTGATGCTTTACAAACCCCATATATTAAACATTAAACAGGGTATACTACGATAGATTTGAAAATTTTATTGTTTCTTCAGAAACTCAACAATTGCCTCAATGACTACTGTATTTTTCATCCTGTCTTATTGTATAAATGCAGTCTTGATTTGAAATATAATAATTATAACAGTCAGTGTGTAAGAAAATCCATTCTTTAATTTCCATTAAAATAGGTGTCTGAAGTGTATTTATTTCTTTAGTGATGTATAAGTAATGATTTGCCAAAGTTTTTGTTAATATTGATAAAATTCAATTAAAAAAAGATAACTCATGTTATTATGTAGATTGATGCTAAATTCTATATAGAACAAGTATCGATTAATTGTTTAGGTAGAATTAATAAACAGTCGGGTGGAAATTTATTAAATCATAAAACATAACAAAAGCCAGGGCTGTATTTATTCCTCCATTTAAAAATTGTGGCTTTCTATCCAACTGTCCTCAAATCTGTAAATTCAGAAAAAACTCTAAAATTGTAATTTTTAGAGAGAAGCATTTCCATCCTCAAAAAAAT